CTCCCAGACAATAGTAGAAATAGAGTAATCTGGACAGTTATGGACTTGGTTTCTAAGCAGGTGCACTTCATCGCTTGCTCAGGGTTGCCATGCGCAAAGAAATTAGCGAAAATGTCTGTGAAACACATTTATTGCCTGCACGGATTGCCCAAGAGGATCATTTCAGACCGCGGAGTCCAGTTCACAGCCAAGTTCTGGAGAGAGTTCCTGAGATCCATTGGGTCCACACAAGGACTGAGCTCAGCAGTTCATTCCAGCATGAACCACGCAGCAGAGAGGGCCAATGCGATGGTGGAACAATACATCAGGTGTTATGTGGACTATCAACAAGACAACTGGTCGGACTTGCTACCCTTCACCGTAGTGGCGTACAACAACGCGATCCACAGCAGCACGGGAATAACAGCTTTCCAAATTACCAGTGGCATGGAATTTGTTGCCATGCCTGAGCTGCCTAGAGAACCTACCTCCTCCATGTCTCTGAATGAATGGATGGACACTCTAAAGAAATGATAGGAAAATACGAAGAAGGGTCTAGCAGATGCGGCAGAAGCCTACAAGAAGCAAGCTGATAAACACTGCTCGCTCCAACTCCCCTTCCGTGTGGGGGACAAATTTTTGTGTCTACCAAATACATAAGATTAAGAATGCCTAGCAAGAAATTGAGCCGAAAACTTCTAGGTCCATTCCCAATAGTGAAGATAATTAACCCAGTTACAGTTCAACTCAGTCTACCCAGAAGTCTAGGGAAGATTTACCCAGTATTTCATTGTAGCTTGTTGAAACCAGTAATTGGATCCAGCATAGGACAATCCACCCAAGCTTTCCCTCCTTCTGTAGTGATAGAGGGGGAAACACATTATGAGGTGGAAAAAATCTTACACTCCAGGCTGTATAAGGGTCGTTTACAGTATTTAGTGCATTGGAAGGGTTACCCTTTGTCTGAAGCCACTTGGGTGAAAAGCTGGGACTTAAAAGTGGAGAAGTTAGTAGAAAAATCCCACGAGAAGTTTCCCGATAAGCCAAAGGGTCTCCTAGTGGGGGAAGTAGGTGGTTAATTGTGTTATGTTAACTTTTATGTTATTCTCTTTTCAGGAAACGTTTTTCATCTGAGGAGAGGTCCAAGGTCATTCTTTGTCTCCACACCTCTGCACCTGACCAGAACTAGATGGGTGGAAATGCCAGTTTGGCAGTGAAAGATTGGACCATGTGTTGGACTTGTGGGAGTGGGGCAAGATTGGATTGGATTGGATTTATTGGATTTATATGCCGCCCTTCTTCCAAGGACTCAGAGCAGCATACAACATTAAAAAAAACACATAATACAAAAGTTGAAAAAAAATTAAATAGAATATCCCA